CACCCTGGGAGGGCGGGGCATGTGCCCCCAGATCTATGCAGCAAAGGGTGGGCTTCAGCTGCAGGGTGGGCCGGAGCTGCATGGGGCTTTTCATGTCAGGGACTGGGCTCTCTGCAGACACCAGCACCGCTGGGAGGAAGCTGTAGCCACCTCAGATTTTGCAGCAGCTCCACTCCCAGTCCCCCACTGCCCCAGCTGAACACCCTACCTCCACCCAAGCAACGGGAAAAGCCGGGGCTGTGCTGGGTGGTGACGTGGGGCTGGGAGCGGAGCTGCGGGTAAATTTGGGGTTGTTGCAGCTGCCTCTCAGTGCCGCCAGAGCCCGCTCCAAACCCATACCCCAGCAAGAAAAGCCCTGCGCAGCGCTGGCTCTGGCTCCACCCTACAACTTCAGCTTACCCCACACTGCACAGATCCAGTCACACACCTCCCTGTCCCCACCCTCCTGGGGCACAAGCAGTAGTGGGAGCTGCCCCCACCACACGAGCTGTGCCTCCATCCTGCAGCTGCCCCCCCACCCTGGCTGGGCAGTGCCTGCTCCTGCCCCCTCCCTCATCAAAGGGGGGTGTTGATCTACCCCCACCACACCAGACTTACTACCTGATGGCAGCTATATTGGATCAGTATTGGCCAACATGCCTCCTTAAAAATCAACTATCGATATCAGCCCCCAAAATCCCTAACATATACACACATGCACACAAATGTGTGTGTATGCGCATGCCACCATAATGGCAGGGACACAGGGGACATAGCCCTGCTCCCTGGAGGCAGTGGAAACAGAACAGCTGGTGACAATGGATGGGGGGAGGGGAGCAAGGCCACTGGAGCTGGCCTCACCTATCCCCCACCTTGCTTCTGGAGGTGGTGGCAGTGCGGTGAACAGTCGGGATGCTGGGGGGCAGACTACCAGTGCTGGCCTTGGCCGACCCCTTCCCCCTTCTGTCATCGCTGCCTGCGGGGCTGACGTGGCAGTGGTCGGGGGAGGAGCCGATGCGCTGCAGCAGCAGCAGTGAGGGGAGGGGAGGAGTGGGACTGGGCCCAGCATGGGAGGGGAGAAGGAGTGAGCCTGAAGGCCTCTTCCCCCCGCTCAGGCCCAGGCCCACTCCTCCCATTCCCCTGCCACCACCACAATGTGTGTATGTACACACACACACACACTATGCACATTTTATTTATTTTTCAAATCTTTATTTATTTCTTCTTTATATTCTAATACAGGCATACCTCGTTTTATTGCGCTTTGCTTTATTGCGCTTTGCAGATATTGCGTTTTTTACAAATTGAAGGTTTGTGGCAACCTTCATTGTTGTCTTATTTTAAGAAACTGCCACAGCCGCTCCAACCTTCAGCAACTGCCACCCTGATTGGTCAGCAGCCATCAACATCGAGGCAAGACCCTCCACCAGCAAAAAGATTACGACTCGCTGAAAGCTCAGATGATGGTTAGCATTTTTTAGCAATAAAGTATTTTTTAAATTAAGGTATGTACATTGTTTTTGTAGACATAATGCTCTTGCACACTTAATAGACTACAGTATAGGGTAAACATAACTTTTATATGCACTGGGAAACCAAAACATTCATGTGACTCGCTTTATTGCGATATTCGCTTTATTGTGGTGGTCT